TGCAGCCGTCATTGTTGTTTGGCGGGCCCAGGCTGGATTCAAACCCACCACCTTAGGTGTATGTGGCTGGCGCCTTAGCCGCTTGAGCCACAGGCTCCGAGCCCACTGAGTCATTTTTGAATGCCTTCTGGGAATAACACCTCCGGGAAAAAATGTTGTATGTTTGGCAATTAAAAACTGATCAAGAAAAAAGAAAACACTATTTTTGAGAGAGGGGGGAAAAGTGAAACAGAATTTGTTTTACGTAAATTATTCTAGTTTCCCTTTAAGATGATTGATCAACTTTGCATCTGTCTGTCACGGAAGTTATCAGCCACAACCTCTTCTTGAAAGACGAGAAATTTTATTTCACAGTTTCCATTTCTACATCTTTGACTAAGATTGCAAAAAAGTAACCAAACCTGTAAAGAACATCGCACACACACCCACACTCACACTCTCTCTCCCCCGCCTCGCTATAAATTTGATCAAGCCTCTAGATCCAACTGCTATTGTACATAATAGAAAGGACGGAGCACCCACAGGGATGCAGTCAGTAAAATCTAGCTATGGGGCTTAGCGCCTGTAACTCAGCAGTTAGGGCTCCAGCCACATATACCTGAGCTGGTGGGTTCAAAGCCCAGGCCCACCAAACAACAACGACAATAGCAACCAAAAAATAGCCAGGCGCTGTGGTGGGCCCTTGTAGTCCCAGCTGCTTGGGAGGCTGAGGCAAGAGAATTGCTTAAGCCCAAGAATTGGAGGTTGCTGTGAGCTGTGATGCCACAGCACTCTACTGAGGGTGACAGCTTGAGACTCTGTCTCAAGAAAAAAAAAAAGATCTAGCTATGGGAAACTCTACACAATGTCTTGGGTTCTTTAATAAAATGTGAGGGGGAGGGGGGAAAGAAGGTAAACTTAGAAATTAAAAAGAGTTTAAAAGACATTAGCTGAGCTAGTGGCTGGTGCCTGTAGTCCCAGCTACCTGGGAGGCTGAGGCAATAGGATCAATCACCTGAGCCCAAAGACTTTGAGGTTGCTGTGAACCTCCATGCCACAGCTCTCTACCAAGGGTGACAAAGTGAGACTCTGTCTCACACATACACACACACACAAAGACATATTAAGGGCAGCTCCTGTGGCTCAAAGAAGTAGGGCACCTGCCCCACATGCGGGTGGTGGGTTCAAACCCAGCTCCGGCCAAAAAAAGACTTATTAAATTCTGACTTTTTTTACCTTCTTGACTTATTTAAATTCTGATTCAAATAGTGAAATTTAAAACATTGACATGAAATAATTTAACTCAGGCTCGGCGCCTATAGCTCAACCGGCTAAGGCGCCAGCCACGTACACCTAAGGTGGCGGGTTCAAATCCCCAGCCCGGAC